TCTTACAAAGGCGAGGGGGGTGTTAGCCCCTGACGAGGTTGCATCATCCCATGTCTCTGAGACTGGAGATCTACCACTGAAAGCTGTGACTTGATAAATTCACTTCCCTATAGGCAAATACCCCGCTGCCAGCAGCAGCAAGGAGGGCTTTGGAGATGCTTTTGAGGCTAGTGGGGAGGGGCAGAACATGTTCAGTGCTCTTTTGAACACCTCCTCAAGGCTGTAAAACCTGGTCTGCTTCACATTTAGTTCCATGAGGGCCTGGAGCAGCTTTTGAAACAGTGTTGGAAAGAGTTTTACCCCATCTTGCCTGCCTGGCTGGTGTGTTTTCAGCACCCAGTGGAGTGCTGTGGAGACTGGAAAGAATAGTTGTGGACAGCTGGTGTCAACTGTGGGTCGTTTTTCCTTTTGCAAGCTGAACCTCCTTTGAGTCCTTTGCTAAAGCATCAGCTCTCCTGTTCCTTCCATTTAGTTTGCAATGCATAAAAGATAAAACTGTGCATCAAGCAATTGCTAGACACATTTAAATACCAGAGACTCATAAACTGGTGAAATTTGAGAATTTATGTTAAAAATCTAGAACTGATTCTGATTTTATAAATATTTTTGAAGTTCAAAAGCTTGCATTCTTGTGGATGTTTGTGTGTTGGTTGCAAACACCAGTTGTGATTGTTTGTTGTGACAGTCATTTCTAGCTTGCATTTTATTAACTACTAGGTTATCTACAGGAATCTTTGCTCTCTTTGCTGGAGCATTTGTGAGGTCTCTGTTCCCCACCTGAGTTGGGGGAATCCCTTTATCCTAGCACTAAGAACCCCTCAAAGGTGTGGTATTAGTCAGGAAAAGTTACTTGCAGCAAGCATTTGCTGTCACCGTGAGTGCATAAGCTTTGTTTTCTACAGTAAAACAAGGCTAAAGAGCACTTCAGGGGGGAAAAGGAGCTTCCCTATCAAAGCTGGTGTTATGTGCCTGCAGGTGGGCTGCAGGCTGGGTGGTTCTACCCCATCCGTGGTCCCCCCAGTGCATTCCCAGCCAACCTGCTCCTCCCCTGGTCGGTGTGAACTGGAGCCTCCCACTGCTGTTGGGAACTGGTCTGACAGGGCAGATGTGCCAAGGTGGGTATCCAGCAGGAGGAGAAGAGAAGCACAGTGTTTGTGTGTGAAACCCCGTACTTGTTGAACTCTGCGCTAGGCTGCTCTTTGTAACTGCTCATTATTATTATAATGAGCTATCTGCAAGTTGCATCAAGTTTTGTCAGAAAATCCTGACATTTTTGTTTCACTATTACGAAAGCAAACAGTAATCTGGGCGGAAGGCCAGGCAGCAGCTTCTGTGGACCAGTGGGCAAAATGGTATTCCTTGTCTAGCTGGCCAGGCGCTTTACTCAGCTGGCTAAAGCAGCATTAGAAGTTTAAAACTTGTAATCTGTGCCTGATTAAGAATATGTTATGGTTACAGGGAAGAGGCTGGTGCTGTGCAGGCCCCTGAGTTGCTTCAGGAGGGCCATGAAGATCCTGCATGGGCTGCAGCACCTCTACTATGGAGACAGACTGAGAGAACTAGGTTTGTTCAGCCTGGAGAAGAGAAGGCTCTTCCAATACCTGAAGGGCGCCTACAAGAAATCTGGATAGGAACTTTTCACAAGGGCATGTAGTGACAGGACAAGGGGGAATGGCTTTAAGCTGACAGAGTGTAATTTACATTAGATCCTAGACAGAAGTTCTCCCCTATGAGGGTGCTGAGGCGCTGAGACAGATTGTTCAAAGAAGCTGTGGCTGCCCCATCCTTGGCAGTGTTCAAGGCCAGGTTGGACGGGGCTTGGAGCAAGCTGGTCTAGCAGAAGGTGTCCCTGAGCATGGCAGGGGGTTGGAACTGGATGAGCTCTAAGGTCGCTTCCAGTCTAAACCATTCTGTGATTCTATGGTATGACCTGGGAGGTGAAACTGCCCTGTCCAGCACATGTTGCTCAGGGCAGGTACCCTTACGTCAGGATGCTGCATCCACCCATCTGCAAGGCTGTCCTGGGGCTGGGAGGCATCAACACTGCTGCATCTCCTCAGGATTTGTATCTCCCTGGCTGCAACTACCAGCACTTTCCTCTTGATTGCAGTTTTCACATGACGCCTGGAGATCTGCAGAGTTCAGGGTTTGACCGTGTTCAGTGCTGTCAAACTGTTAGCAAACTGTTCTGGAGGGCAAGTGGAATGTGTATTTTTGCCTTTATTTCTAAAGTGCAGTATGTAGAAGCCAATATAGTGCACCAGGGTTATTTGTGTGAAAATTTGCTGTTTCTTGTTTATGAGATAATGTAAGATCCCGGAATGAAATTCTTCTAGGGTAAAAGGCCTGTCAATCTTATTAATTATTGCTAATAATAGTAATTATCATGTGACCACGCTGTCTGCCTCCTTTATGGGTTTAGGCAAGTCATTTCCCTAATAGATGGCTGTAAAATGGGGAAAATGGTATTTTTCCTCAGTCTTGAAAGGTGTTGCCCTGTGAGTGCCATGTGAGACACAGGTGTTTCACCAAGGCAGCTGTATGGCAGGGACGGCAGGGGTTTGTGTTTGGCAGAACAGGGTGTGAGCAGGGGCTCATGGGTTGTGTACTAGCTGAGGAGGAGGCTTGCAGTGAGGTGAGCTTGTTTCATGTCACAGGGCCATCAGCTGCCAAATGCATCTGATAACATAAACATCTTTGAAACCCAGTCCAAAACATCCCTTTTGCCTTGTTAGCTTTGGGTCATAGGCTTCCCATAAGCTTCTGCCAGTGATGCTATGCTGTGGAAACAACAGGAACAGAATTTGGGGTGTTTCTTTCAACCTCAGCACTGCCAGGATCTGCACACTGGGATACAAAGTGGGTTGTATAGGTCCTCATGGACCTTCTGCAGCGCCTCAGGAGATGCTTATGCCTCCCCAAATTAGGGATTTCCTTTCCTGCAGAGATCCTTGCAGCAATGTAGTTCAGGATTTGTCCCTTAATTATCTCTGCTGCTTCCAGCCATAGTAGTGGTGTGTGGTCAGGATGGTGGCCAGTGCTTCTCTGCCTGAAGCAAATGCCCCAGCTCTGCACTGGTGATGGTGTGAGCAAGGTGGAAGTACTTCATCAGCACATCCAAGGCAAGTCCCTGTTCTGGGTGCAGCCACTTGACTTCCATCATCTAAAGACAAGTTGTGTATCAGTTCTGGGTCTGCCAGAGCCAATGTGTCTTTTAAAAAGCCATTCTGGCCTCTTTTCTTCCCTCCTTTCCATTTACCTTTCCTTTACTTTTCAGTGGAGAGGTTGAAAACAGCTTGGATAAGCAGGGGGTATGATCTAGAGGTGATTGCTCCTGCATCAGTTGAGAGAAGCCCTGTGACCCACTGACTGCTGTCCCAGCCCCGTGCCTTGTTTGTGTGACATGTAGGATGGACCAGTTTGACCTAAGAGTCCCAGAGGAGGTAGGACAGTCGCAGTGCACTGCCCATGCTACCAGGCTTCTGGTCTCCACCAGAGCTACCAGGCAGCTGGAAAGACAAACAAGAGCTGACTCCACCTACCAGCAGTATGGAGACAGCAGCCCGTGAGATCGACAGCCCAAGAATGTGCACACAAAAGAAGCATTTCCCTCGGCCACGACAGTAAAACCGCCAGACGACCACATGCAGCATGTGATTTCCCAAAAGCATCAGCCCAGATCCCGACTTCTTTGTGCCACACACTGTTTCCCAGGATCAGATCACAGTGGCAACGTGTAAAAGGCATTTTCAGGCACTGAAAATTAATCATATTTTCCTCAACATTGTTTATGGAAACCCTGGAGTACGCTCCTGCCCCTCTGTGCTTGGCCAGCTGGCTCAGCTCGCCGGCCCTTGGAGTCAAACCCTCTGCAAAGACCAGCCATGTTTATGGTGGAGCCACTCACTCTGCCTTGATGGGAGTCATCCAGGCTTACTCTGTGGAGTAAAAGCTTAGGCAGTGACGAGTGGTCTCATCTGCTGACCTGTAAATACAGAGCCTCTCGCCCTGTTCCTCACTCTGTGTCACTGCTAGCAGGAGCAGGTACACATGGTAGGCACCGTGCCCTCTGCTTGCCAAGGCTGCAAACAGCTTGTAAGAGCCCCCAAACATTTGGGAGCTTTGGCCAGTGGGACTCTGGCACAGAGTGGAAATAAGGTGAGACAGGATGAGTGCGGTTTCCCTTCTCCCCCACTGGTTTCCATTGATAAATGGCATTGCTTTCAGTGGAGCAGCTCTGGTTAAGACAGATCTGATCTATCCAAGAACTGTTTGGGCTGGGTGTTTTCTGAATTCCTGGCTTTAATCCTTTTTGTTGTGACTCTCTGGAGCCTGTTGTACATTCTTAGCTGTAAAGGGAGCCATCAGTTAATGATGATCACAGGCTTTGTCAATAGAGTTCCAAAAGCGCTAACGAAATGGCAGACGTTCAAACTTGAAAATGAAATCTCTTGTTTTCAGTGTGATTTTTCTGCCCTTCCTTCCATCATGTGTGGCTTGTACTGCTCTAGTAATGCAGGCAGCTGTGTGTGTAGCTGCTGTGGCATTTCTGAATGTATTAGTACTTGTAAAGGTGACAGAACATCTGTTTGCAGTGTCCCTTGTTTGGTCCTTCAGAAACAAACGCTGACTGGAGTGGATGTATGCCTGCTGTGATTTCACCTGCTAAGGAAATAGTCTTAATGTACAAATGAGCCTTTCCCCCCACCCCACAATAGCAACCTTTGGGTTTAGATTTCCAGGAACTGGTATCAGCTGGGTTCCATGACCTGCACTTAGAAACAACATTTAGTTGATAAGGCATTGATAAGGCATTTAAGGCAGAATGGAGCTGAGAGCCAGACCACCACCCATTTCTCTGGATTGACCCAGGAAGAGGAGAGGGGCCGGGCCAGGAACTGGCTATGCGGATAGGCACAGCAGGGCGTACTTTCCACTTAGCATCCTGAGTTTGGGTTTGGGTATGGAGCACAAATCCTGACAGTACTGTGTTTTAACAGGGAGAAGACTACGAGGAAAGGCGTTCTACAGTGTCAATGGAAAGGTGTACTGTGAAGAAGACTTCCTAGTAAGTAAGATCTCAGGCTTCTTTTTCTTTTTTTTTTTTCTGTTTTGTTTTTAAACCAGATTGGTTTTTTATATTGGTTTGCTTGCTTTGAGACACAGTTTAGTCATCTGAGGCCTCCTGCCAGTGCTGGAATTGGGAGGCATTTACCACTAACTCCGTAACAGCAGGATCAGGCCCTTGGTTTGAAGTGGTGGCTATGAAACCAAGTACGTAACTGTCCATAAGCCATCACAAAGTGTAAATTATGAGAATAAACACTGTAGCTGCTCAAGCCTGGGACTTGAATTGCAGCCACAAAGGCTTGCCTGCCAAGCTAGAGCTCAAAGTCAAACACCTGGGGAATACCAGTCATAACAAGAGGGGAGACGTTTTTGACTGGAGCACGTCATCACCATGTACAATGTTGCTTTGTTGCAGGCACAGTTTTAATCACCACCGTGCTCAGAGTGATGTGGAGCTGCATTGTGATTAGCTAAAAACTGTTAGCCACGGAGGAGCAACTAATTTTCTCTCTGTGCACAGAGCTTTCATAAATGCTTTACTTTAATAGGGACTAGGTCATGAAAAGAAAAATGAAGCTTGTTGCTGAACTGTGTTGTTCCAGAAATAAAATATTTGTGCAATTAGGGGTGAGGATTGTGCAGGACACAGAGAATGATTTGATAAGTGGCAGACCATTTATAATTAAGATTAAGCGGACAGCATGTCTGGGAATTGAAATGAGAGAGGAATGATATATTTTAGCTTAGAGGATGAGATGTTGTTGGACAGCCAGTATGTTGAATGTGTACCACTTTTATTTATTGAAATACCAGCTTGGGTCTTCCAGAACTACTTTCCATTTCTAATGAAAATATGTGCTTTTTGCAAAGGAATTACTCAAAATACATCCCACAACAAAAATGTTACTGGCAGTTCAAAGAGTGTGCAAATGCATTTCTCATCAATTCAATCCATAAAACTCATGGAAAGTCCCCAAAATATAAGCCATATTTGCCTTCATGTGTTATACCTTTACTCTCAGCCTACCACAGCTGGACCCTGTTGAAAAGAGCAAATTATATTTTGTGCAGAAAGTAAGTTTCTTGTTATAATTTAAACGTGTTACTGTTTTGCTGGCATTTTGGAGAGAAAACTGATTTTCTCCCTTGCTTTTTCATCTTTTTTCTTTTCCCCCTGTGTTTCTGCAGATGCATGGGGAGAGGGGGAAGAAGGTGGTGCGTGAGGTGGAGGGGCTCAGACCTTTGAGATTTTTATTTTGAACTATGTACTTTCCCCATGGCCAAAACCTTTCATCCAGACTTAGTGAAATTATTATTGTTACTAGTTTGCAATTCCAACCTAAACATGAGAATTTAAAATCTCAATCTGTTGGAGAACATTCCATTTTCAAGGGATGGGGAACCTCTGGTTCTTCAACATGTTCTGTAGTCAGCTTCTGAAGGGAGATACTTGCAGTGATCTTCCCAAGAGATTAAGGGCCTGATAGGAATAAATTGTGCACGTTAGGGAACTGTTGGGACATTTAAGACATAGATTTAAAAGTCCAAACCTCCCACAAGTGCCTCTTAGCAGATTCACGGTAGTACAGAGGAATGGGAGAGAAGCAGACCAAGGGACTCTAGGCTGTGTAAGTCAGCAAAGAAATCAAATTCTGACATTGTCCCTGCCTGTGTTAAGCCAGCTGCTTCTCAGAACGTGATTTCATCTTCTCTCAGTTCCCCTGAGCAAATGTTATAGCAAGATTACTAGGAATTGTCTTGTTTCCCTAATAAAATAAAACAACTTTGCTTATTTTAGAGTTCTGTGGACAGAGAAAGCTCAAAGCTGCTCTCAAAGTCAGAGGAAAAGACTGCAAAGTGGTAGTTATAAAGGGAATTATTTAGCTACTTCATATTTCCTTATTTCCTCTTAACCACTTGGAAACCTTAGTTCTAACAAGAGTTGTTTTTCAGTCCAAAGCAGATAGCCAAAGTTTTTTCTGTTTAACAGAATTTCAGTCTCTATTGTAACTCAGTGCAATTTTATACATGGATTCCCTGCTGACAGTATGGTAGTGGGGTATCAGGATTGTCATTCGTAGGTAAGAGCATAGGAAAAAGATTATTTTAATTTGGAGAGCTAACAGAGGTAGTCTACCTCTGTTATGATTGTATTCCTGCTAACAAAATACTGTCTCCAAGTGGTATCCTTGCTGTTTCTTAGCTTTTGCTTGCCTGGAAGTTGATCAGGAGAATTACATGCTCCTATAGGTATTGGAGCTGGGTCACAGGTCTTCAGAATTGTGACCCTGCAGCTTGTGACCTGGTTATGTCAAGTATGACACAAAGATAGTAAGAATTGGAAAGCAGAGCAGCTTCAGAAAATTGGGCAGGAGGTACCGTGCTATCAGGCTTGGGTCAGTGGTGAAATCCATGTATTAACAACTGAATTGGAGGGGCCTGTGTGTACATGGTTCGGCTTGCAATAGCAGGATGCTCTTTTGATGGATTGCCAGGGACAGATGTGAGGATTTGCGTTGCTTACAGTCCTGCTGAAGCAGCAGTGGTTTGAGTGATCCCCTCATTTGCCCTTTCAGCAAGAGGCATGCTGATGGGAAGCAGTTGCAAATGTAATGCCAATTGGGAGCAGGGGTGGTAGGAGTCTCCCCACTACCTGGAGGAGAATCCAGCCCCTTCCTACGCTCAGCAGGCAGCATGGAGGGCTTTAGTTCGTGCAGAGCTCTCCCTTCCAATTGTTACCTCTGTGTATCCCATGAACGTGATGCAAGTGCTTCTTCCCCTTCATCCCTGACGTCACTCTGGGGATGTCCTGCAGCAGGCCAGGCAAGACACAGGAACTTGTCAGTCCCACTTTAGGATTGCAGTAAATAGCACATGAACAATGATGGGTGGAAAAGCTGAAGCTGTTCTTGCTGTGAACCAGTCAATGTAGGAAATTTTAGGGAAGAATTTATATTATTTATGGGTTTCTTCTTACTGTAATTGTTAGAAATGTTTAACATCCTACAGATGCATTTTAACTCTACTGTAACACTGCTGTTTCCTGCATCAGAACAGCTCCTACCAGAGCAGAGTCCCCAGAACTGTGGTTGGTGGCTTGTATGTGATAGCTGGTTCTTTAACTCCCACTCAAGACAGGTCAGCTCTTTCCCTCTATCAGAGGTGATGCTTGGAATTTGCTGCAGTATCATATGGTGCATGAAGGCAAGACCTTGAGAAAAGTCATTACCTGATCCTTATAAGTGCCAGAGTTGTTTCCAAACAAATCGGTCCATAAAAGTGTGACATAAGGAGCTGTTAGTGTCAAGTGTTCAAAATAGGGGCCTTTCTTTGAAAAGTGCTTTTGATTTCTGGACAAAAGGTGTTAGATAAATGTAGATGTTATTAATTATGAGCAATTTCCACTGCACAGCCATAAAGCTCTCCAAAGTGCAGATACACCCGTCAAAACCTTTGGCAATACCCACAAGGTACATTCTTCTACCAAATAGTTTTCTCACATATTTGCTCTTAATGAGGGTACAGATTATCTTTCTCTGAATAAGGCAGCTTGTTTTGGTCACTCTTTTCAGGAAAGAAATGCTACAAGTTTTTAGACATGCTTGTGGAGCTGTGGATGGGGAAGGGATGCTGCATGCTACAGTCATCCTCATACATCCTTTGCTTTAGCTCCAGGGAAGATCCAGTCATGCTTTTTCAGGCCACCTTAAAGTAGCAAGTCCAGCAATATCCAAGTCTTGCCCTTTTAGGATGGTTATTTCATGAAAGGAAATAAAACAAATGGCAGTTTAATCCTTCCCTGAAAGCTGTTCGGACACAGATGGGTAACTAGCCATAACAGGGACACTGTTCCTGGTGCAGTGAACGAAAAATAAATGCCTTGCTGTGTAATAAATAATCCCAGTCAGATGTTCTTGTTCTATTTTGTTGATAAATTGCTGCATAATCATGGGTGACGGAAAAACAGCTCAGTAATTCTGTCTTTCCCTTTCAATGCTTAAGTATGGAAAGAAATTTAAAAGAAATTACCATTTTTCTTGGCAAAAAAGACTTAACAAAGTCACCAAAGCAACCTGAATCTTACTTCTATTATATTTTCTTTTTTTTTTTTTTTCTTTTTGAAAGGTTTTCCCTTTTTCTCTTGAGGTAATGAACATTATTGAGTGGGGGTCCAGTAGAGGTTAAGAAATTGGAGAATTTCCCTCCAGGGAGGAGATGAGAGGGGTAAAATGAACCTCGTGACAGATGTTAGTTACACTGCTTAATGCACTAGTGGAAGACACTTAGATGCTCTAAAATAACCAATTACAGACACCACCAGCTGCAGTGCATAGCATTAAGGTCATCCAAACCTTCCCCTTTTAAGATTACCTCTTTCACTGTCTTATAACTTTGCCAAATTTTATCATCTAGGTTGAACTTCTTCATGCCAGGTTTTTGCCTCTGGCTAACTTTGCTGTCATTAGTTGTTGAAAGTTTTACTAAAGCTGTTCATCCATTTCAGTGAGTAAGACTGGAGGAAAATCTGTCACTTTGCCCATAAATCCTCAAAGAGAAAAGCTCTAAAGTCTTCAGTTTGCATGTGCCAACCAGAGAGAGAGACTTAGTGCATTGTAAGCCTCTAGGGCCTTGCAGGTTGCCTCTCAAGTCTTCCTTCTCCTCTCCATCCACTTAACAAAAGTTGGCTACAGAGAACATGCAGGGCCTCATCTTCTATCCACAACTGTAAAACTCCCAATGATTTAAATAGGTGATGAGGGTGTGTGAGATTGATAAGAAAGGTGGCAAACGGAAATGATGAGCCTTTCATGGGGAGAAAGGAACAGGACATCAGTGGGGGACTATCTGAGTGATCGACAGTTCAGGAGAGCAGGGCTTGCACCCTCATCTTCTGTAGCACCAAACACAACAAGACCCATACCCTAATTTGGGCCTCTGGCCATGGCTGCAATGTAAATATTAATGCTAACTAGGCTATTCTCAGTTTGTGCACATGCTGTTTTCCAAGCCTGGTGGTGGTGAAAATGGCCTGCCCACTGGCTGGGACCCTAGGAAGAGAGTTTTTATTTAGTGTAATGGAAGCTGGTGTCAGCTGGAGTCAGAGGTTTGATTTTCCATCTAAGTGAGTATAAATATTTGGAGATCTCCCTTGGGAGGTGAGCACTGGGACTAGTGCATTAGTCAGAACCCACTGCTGCTGAGCAAGACTCTCAGAAAAGGTAGACTCAGTTGAAAAGGTAAGTGACGGAAGTTGCAGCTCGTGTCCATTTCATTTCTAATGGGAATCACAGAGCAAATGCAGTTCTAGATAATTATGAAGATGTTGTGTTTAGAAGACTTGCTGTTAAAATGCATACCCCAGTCAGAGAACAGGCAGATACGGGTGTTTATTGATATGTTTAACAAAAGGATGGAATCAAAGCTTGAAAAGGGATTTGCTGCAATATTCCTGATGTACAGAAGCACAAGGAATTCTGTGAGTGTTTTCAAGGCGTTGATGATTCTAGGCAGGGACAGGAGGTGCCTTTCAAGTTCCAGAAATATCATGAATGCCAAGCGTTGCTGTGGTCCCAAATACTGTCATTGAAAACAAAGGCAAACAGATTATAACGTGTTACTGTAATCAGTGCATGAGGGAGTGAAGTTCGTGTTGCTACGTGTGTGTGTCTTGCTCCAGCCCCTCCCTGCCAAAAAAAGCTTGAATACTTCCTTCCCTTAGTTTTTCTTAAGTTTGTAATATACCAGTGGTCTGGTTTTATTTTACAAACAAATTTGACAGTAAAGACACTTAATTGGGGTGTTCTAATTAGAGTGTTCCATCAAACCTACAGATGGGCTTTAAAATTCAAATTTCAAAATATCTGGGGATAGTCAAATCCTGATTGGCCTCTGCACTTTGGGCTTGAATGTGAATCAGCATGAGGAGCATGTCGATCTGGCAGTTTGGGTTCACCTCTCATTGCAACACAATACTGTAGTGCTGTATTCTGTATCAAGAAGTTACAAGCCCATTGAAGCTGGTGGCAGAAGTCCCACTGACTTCAAGGGGGTCTGGATTTTCTCCCAGGAATTCGTCCCCTAGGGTCTACATAAAAATGTTGGCATCAAGGCTGAGAGGCTAAGGATGAATGCTGCATGGCGCAGCAAGTGCCATTAGCAGGTCTGCTAATTGAAGAATACTGGTGTTTTGAAATAGAAGATGAACTAGAAAATCTCTCAAGAGCAATACACAGGCAGTACCTAGACTCAGGTGATAACATAGATAACCATAACGTGATGAAAGGTGTGTATTCACTTAAAGGATGCTCAGCGTTTCCTCAGCTAGGTCACGAATTGTCAAATAGGTCACAGGAATCACTCTCTGGGCAATAACGAACTAGACAAGGAAAGGATGGGGTTTTTTGGAGACGTATCACTAGGTGCTAGCTTTCGCAACTGTCCGTACTTTACATTTGCATTTAGTGGAATGTTTTGAAGGGTATGTTACAAAGTCCGATTGGTTTCATGCCAGATAGCCACTCCCCCATTTCCTCTTGAGATGGCAATCCAAAAGTCAGATTATTGCATTTTTCTTAATATTACATTGAAAAATAAATTACAATAACTCAAGCACATTTAAAAGAACTAGAGCTCTTTCCAATTATGTGTAACTCCTGCCAAACACTTAGAAGCAGACAGCATTAATTTTTTTTTTTTGGGGGGGGGGGGGGAAAGAGTAAAAAAAAAACCCCAAAACAAAACATGTGAGAAAGTGGTGTGTTTCCACTTCTGTAGTAAACGTTGGTATTAGTTGCTGTTATGTTTTGAATTGAAATCTTTCAACAACTGTTTTGAATAAAATCCAGATTTATTTCCTTTTTTCCAGGAAGATATGTTCTAATGGAGGCAGCTCTTTTGCAGCATACATAATAGATGGTAGCAGTGACAATAAATAACCCCTAGCAAGAATATAAATATATGATGTGAGTCGAGTTAATAGATTTTTGGGCTGTATGGTATGAGGCAGAATTAGAGTTGTTGCTTCAAGCCTTTTACTTGATCATTGTTACTTCAAAGGTTCCGCAGGAGTTTGTTTAAGGAAGTTCTAGGTGAGAAAATCATTATCGTCTCTTAATTGATCAGACAGAAAGTAGTCTTGGTGAATGTGTACATGGCTCTGTGTAGGCTCTCTAGGACATAAATGGCTGTTCCCTTCTCAGAGACTCTGAAATGCCTGACTGCTAAGGCAAAGTTAGCTGCCAGCTGAATTCCTATCTTTTGGCAGAGTTTTGTGCATAGCCAGACCAACTGTTACTTCTGTGCAGAACATGAAGTCCCTCCTTGCCCTACCCATGTCCTTCAAACATAACAAAGTGGAAACGGAGAAGCAAGAAGATAAGCTGTGATAGTGTTTCCTCACTGGCAGCAAGACAGGGTTAAGCAACAGGGTATAGGAAGCGGTTTTGGTGAGATGAAGAGTAAGTTCTGGACTATTTTCCTTTAATCTCTGCGCCACCTGCCATGAGGCTCCTGTATCTTTGAGCCTAAGAAGGCCTCATTTTGTTCAGTTCAGTATGATCGCTGCCTTTAAATATGTGTGTAAAAAAAAAAAAACCACAAAACCCATCTGCATCAAACCAAATTTCATATTTTCTCCCTCTCTTAACGTGATCCCATGAATTTCTTGCATTGTTGTGTCCCATGTACTGAGGATCCCATGCAGAGAGCAAACAATAAAGCAGCGAGGAGACAGATGCTCCGCTAATGGGAAACCAAGGAGAGGAGAGTCTGTGAGGGATTACAGGCAGCCTGGGGTTGGAATACATTATTAGCATAGCACCCAATTCAGAAATTAGTTTTCAGAATTAAATGCCTGAGGCGTTTTGGCAAAATGTCCTGACCATCCCTCTCAGAAGCCCTTAAAACATAAAAGAGTAGGAATCTCAAGTCTAGGCTGAGCAATCACACTGGGTGCGTTTGCAGTGCTGGAACAGTGAATTGTAGTTTTTATGGCTTCATACCATTACCGGGGCAGCAACTGCCCCACCTACTGAAATGTAACCCTCTCGATCTGCTTGCACAAACCTTTAGCAGGTTTTGAACATCCTCATCAAAGAAAAAAACAGGCCTGAATGAGATTCCAGGGTCTGTTTCCAGGAGGAAGGTTTTGTTTTGTTGAGTGCATAACAGCAGGGAAGTGCCTCAGCCTCTCCTTGGGCACGGTTAGGCATGTGAAGGAAAAGCAGCAACATGTCTTTTCAGAGATCTTACGTTGCCTAAGGTAGAAATTTGGGGTCCTGTAGCCTTTTTCAGGCATGCTATTTTCTGAATGCTTTTTGCTTTAGAAAATAGTGATAAAAAGATCAAACTTTAAAAGACCCCGTGTAGACAACCAGGCTTGGTTACAGGACTGAGGGCAGACAGGAGAAATTGTTTCTCATAGTACTTAGTGGGATTATCCTCCATGCATAATTGTTCATTATATGCTCAAAATTCATTGTTAATTTCTTTTGGATGTATTGCACATTAGACAGAAGAGTTATAAACCCCAAGATTATCACAGGGGTGATATCACTAAGAGGCCTAAATATTCAGGACAGAAGGGGACTTGTTTTCCTCTTGCATTGAAACAAAGACTCTTGGTCAGAATCATTAGAGAGGTTTTTTGCCTGTTTGATAACCAAAGTATATTGGACAGCAAACAAAAGAAAGGATCAGCAAACCAGGTCTTCTACTTTATTTTTACTCTTCTATTCTAACGTAATTAACATATTTCTCAAGGTTTATTTAGTTTCCCAGAGCCTTATTTTATGTAAGTATCATTGGGAAGCTTGATTACAGGGTCTTGCTTCATGCACATGAAGTGTGACTTTGTTATCCTGGCAGGACAAGGTAAATATGGGAGGAAACACCTGGGACCAAACCAAGAAATCAGAAAAAACACTATGCCAACTCTTCAAGATGCACTTGTTTTCTTTGCATCATGGTAACTAGCATCTTATTTCTAAGTCACAGAAGTGAGAGTAGAGGGTAATAGTTCATTTTCAGCTTTGAATCTTAGCGGTGTTCTTTTTGTAGCAACTTCTTTCAAAGTTTTTATATATGCTTAATGAGAATCTATAATGAATATTTGGGAAAGTTGAAAATTAAGCTTCTTATGTGTCCTGGGTACAGACTGTCTGTAGACTTCTGAACATTTCTGTCTAGTTTGAAACTGGTTTGTATTTATATCATTGTACAGGTCTGCCAACAAAATTGAAAAGAAAAAAAAGCCCCCCCAAAAAGCCTGGCATGTACAAAACCTCATAGAGTAAGTCTAGAACTGAGCCCAGGACTTTTTACATCCCAAATGAAACTGCAATATAGAATACCCTGTGCACAGGAAGCATAGCTGTGAGTTGGCAGCTTCTCCACAAGGCTGTTGCCTATCAGCCCGTATTACTTCACTGTTTCACCTCAGTTTGTTTTTCACGTCTCCAGGTTGTGAGGGAGGGCTGGTGTGTGCAAAAGCTCATTTTCCCTGCTCCAACTGTGTCAGTGATAAAAGGGGCTACAAGTTTGTAGAGCATAACCTCCTCTTCTCTTGCAGTTACCAAGTTCACAAAGTCTGGGGGACCAGTGCTTCTTCCACCCAGCCAAACTGGGCATCCACCACTGGGGAAGCTCTTGGGTGTGCTGAGAGATAATAAAGAGGCCATTCTGCCTTGTCTGCAGTGTGGAGCAAGTCACAGCTTCTCATTGCACACGCAGGATTTCTGAAGGTTAATAATAATAAAATGCTTCAAAGACAGAGGTTGCCAATTTTAATTAGTATTTTAAGACTTCATTGGTAAGCTCTCCTTCTGAAATTGAAAACTTAGCCCAAGAGCCCTGTTTGAAGTCTCCAAGTTAAGAACAACCAGTGCAAAGCAGAAGTTGACAAGTAGAGAAAATTATTTATTATTTACATTTAAACACCAGTCTTCACGGTACTACCATCATGTAGGAAACTGCTGCAGGGATCTGAGGCTGTTTCTCTGTTCCAGTCCAAGTAGATTTAAAATACAAGCAGAGACGAATCCAAAACTCTGATCTCACTGTTTGTCTGGGATCAAGACTGCGATCAGAAGAAAGTGTAGTGGTAAAGGACAACTCCCCACACCCATGAAATATGTTATCACTGCTATTAGACTTACTGCCCTTTTGCAAAGTCTTAATTGGGTAATCCAGTTCTGGATGTGTTGGACAAATAACAGTTCTCTTGTTAAAAATAAATCATGGTTTTAATTTAATAGGGTTAGTCATATAAAGAGTGATTTTGTGTCAGCAAAACCTTTCTTTCTGACAGTGTAATTTATGACAATCTAGTTAGCAATAAATGACATTATTCTGACCACTATACCATTCTGTTCCAGGGGAATAATGTTCCCTCTTAATCAATAGCTGGGTAAATACTCCTTTGAATTCCTTATCAAATGACAGCCAGATGGAGCTGGTAAATTCATTCCAGCAGGATTTTAGAATTAGCTGGGTTTGTACTATTGTTAATCTTCTGCTGTCTGCACCACTTGGACCTACCCACCTGTTTCCAGTAACCCTCGAGTCTGCAACCTTAGGAAATAGTCTAGCCAGATGGTTACTCACACAGTGCAGCCAAGAAGCATCCCAAGCAGTGAAGCCTTTTGTTCTGCATCTGTAAGAAAAAGGCAAACTGGTATCTTGTAGTAATAGCCAGCTAGGACTGTCTTACTCTGTATTTGTTCCTCAGCACCCAAGTCTCTTTTGATGAAGTTTCAGTTCCTTAGGATTACATAAACTGTGTTACTTAGCGTGTAGTAAATCTGGAGCTGTGGCAGCTGCCATACTGTCATGTACTGACTTTCTGGGCCCATCAGAGAGTCTACGAGACCTTTTCCTTTATAATTACTCTGTTGCATAGCAACAATAGTTTTGTCTCCAGTGTATTGATTGGAAATAGTATGTGATCCTCTAGCACCAATAAAAAGGAAAACATATGGCAGCTCTAGGCGGGAACCACTCGCTTGTGAAGTGAGAGGGCAGTTAATCTGCACTAAATCAAGGGGCGATGGAGCAAGCCCTAAGCTCTGTTGGGCTGAGGCCCTGAAGATGCATTAGATGCATGAGCCAGTTAACCTGTGCTCTGGGAGAAGAGTCCAGTTTACAGTCATTCTCCCCATTCCCTCTCTTGTATCTTGTGCAACTGAAGTACATTTCAGGTGAGCTTTGCTACAACCTGAATTTTTGAAATAAGCATCACTCTGCAGTACCATACAAATAACTGGGCACCCCTTCCCTCTGGCAAGAAAGAGTGAGCACGCACCACTTTGCTTATATGGGACTGCAGTGGCTGAGGGCAAAGTTCAGCCACTGCAAATACCAGTTTGAGAATGACGTGGCTGGAGTTCCTCTTGCCTGTAGGCCAGTTTGGTACATCAGTTGTCTGGCCTGATAACCTTGGTATTTTTTGTACACAAGGCTAAAGACAGACTCTGGCATCCGAAACAGGATCTGCTTTGGGGACGCAAGTACAAAGTTAAGGTCAAAACGACTGAGGCAGGGAACATAGCGCTTTGGTCCCAGGTGGGCCAAGTGACTCGCTGCTGCTGTGCCCCTGGCATTTGAACCCAAGAGGGCTCTGCTGCCAGGCATGCCCAGCCTTCCCATTTCCCACTGAAAGCTGGAGCATAGGCTGGTGGATGGGGTTTGTATCATCTTTCTGAGGTACCTCACTGTTCACATCGTACAGGGAGCCCGAGCTCCTATGACTGGACTTTTAGATTCTTCCCTGGATAAAATGCCTGGTATCCATGAGATAGCTAAATTCTCCTTGGGCCTGTATTCATTTTTCTAGCCTGCATGTAAGAGTGAAATGTAGGTCAGTATCTGAAATCAGTAAGCATCTGTTCACTAATTTGAACAGGAGTTGAGAGGGAAGTCCTGTGTTATTTACTTACCCAACAATAGCAACCAAAAGAGTTAAGTCAAGTGAGTTCTAACACACCAAACTCGACAATTAGACTTCCAAAATAAAAATCAAGCTTTGAAATAATATTGAAAATCTCAATGGAAACCTTGCACTGGAAAGCCAAGCTGGTATCTGAGCATGCTGCAAGAGCAAAACAAAGGCTTCTACTATGTCCCAAACCTATTGTGTGAGTTTGTTGCCATATATATAGCACAGGCTGGAAAATAGCATAGCGCTCACTTAAAAGGTATTTCTGCAGCTAGAGGAGTGGCTACTAATAATCCTCTCTTTTCTGTCATTTGAATAGTATTCAGGTTTTCAGCAAACAGCGGACAAGTGCTTTGTTTGTGGACATCTCATAATGGAAATGGTAAGAGACCTAAATCCCTAACCATGGAGCAGCTTACTGTTCATGTACTTCAGGCCCTGCACTGTGAGACGTAGTGCTTTTCACTAGTCAGACTGTCACTGTGTCCTCACCTCTTTCAACCTATCGTTTGAAACTTAGGCAGTAAATAAACAGAAATACCTTCATGCTCTATTACTTTTAAAGTACAGTAAGTTGGTCTTCTTTTCTAGCTGAAATTATGGAAAGTCGTTCTGCCACATGTCAGTTTAAGAACAAAAAGATAAATAGAATTTTAATACTAAGGAGGGAAAATACAGCACAGCTTTGTATGAGAACATGGTAAAGGAAAATAGGGTGTGCTCTGTAAGACAGTAGAATAGCAAGAGCTCTGTCAGGTGAACGGAAATGGCTAAAGAGGAGGCAGTATCAGTAGTCCTGAGGCTTGTTTCCTGATATTTTACTGGCTTTATTTACCTGCTGCCAATTGCTCCATGTCAGTTAAAATGCATTTTGCCCTGGGATTTGTAGAGAGACAGCAGTCAGAATCAAAGGGCTATGCGTTGGGGCAGGTACTGCTGGCATCGTTTATTTCAGTAGGTGAAAGTAGGAAGAATCAAGTCTGTTCATCCTAATGAGAAATTCCCCAACAAAATGAAGTGGCTTCCACACCAAGGCAGTGCAGATCATGTAGTGTATCTGTTTTCCTCTTTCTATAAAAGGTACGTGAACCTCAGTGTGCCTAATGGAAATAGCTGTTGCGATGAACACACAGAGGTTCGGTACGAGCTGGAACTGAGACATAACTAACAAGGATTTTGGCTCGTATCCTGGCACCACTGGTTGGACAAGGATATTGTTTATTTTAGCCCAAGAGCAAATTTCTAGAGTTCTGTCATGCTGGGAGGGGTATCCTGACTTGCATGCTTTGCGCTGGCCCTTAATGGCGGAACCCCAGGCAAGAGTCTGTAATTGGTCGAGCTCTGTAGCTGGAAGCTTGGCAGGTGCTTGTCTGCCCTTCTCCCATCTGGAAGTGTGCTCTGACAAAAGGAAACAGCTCTCGGAGCTCCAGGAATTAAGCAGTCTTGTTTGGTTGATTCCTTCATGTTGTTCCCTGAGAGTGCACGTACAATAAAAATGACTGCACAGCAGTGGTGACCATGTGCAGCTAAAGAGCCGGGAGCTGCACAACAGCCCTGGGCATACTTGAAGCTGTTCAAGGCTGAAAGTGCAGTTGAATTAGGAGTTGCTCTGTGCAGAGGGGTGGCTGCACAACTATGCCAGGCTATGGCATATGTGTGTTGCATATCTGCCTCGATCACAACACACACAGGTGGGTTGTTTCTGGCTAGGAACAGGCTTGCAAACCAGAACTGAACTGTAGGGCTTCATTACAAGGGGGAGAGCGAAAGTTAAATTCAATTGACTTGTGCATTTTTCCTATGTGGCACTTCTTATTTCCTGTTGATCTGATCGTTATTCATAGAATCATCTACAGGGCCATGGAGATTGGCACGTGGAGATTTTCATCTCCAGTTTATTAGCAGCTCCCAGCTGAGCACTGCTGCTAGCAGATACTTATTGAAATTACCTTCCAAAGGTACTTCTTACATCAGAAACGTATGTGGTTGGTGCTGTAAGCTGCTGAGAGCTGCCTGAAGATGATACCATGTCTCACTCTTCCCAAAGGCTTGTTCACGGGTTTGGTGCTTCCTCCTTGATGTCCCAGTGTCACAGTGAGGGTAGCCGACAGGGATGCCAGGAGGGTGGGGATCTGTTCTGTGGTGCTGTAACTGAGACTGACTGCATCAGGCCCTTCGCTTGAAACCTTTAAAATGAAGTAGGGAAGGTCAGCATGGGAAAAGCCTGGGCAGATGGATGGATCTGTATCCATACACATGGATACATATATGGAATTTTAACAGAAACTGATGGGCCCCTATGACTGAGTGATAACCAGTCAGTAATTGGTGGATTTGGATCCTTAATTAATGAAGGGACACTTATTTATTTGGTTGGTTTGGTATTTTAAAGTTTGAGTAATGACTGGTTTGGATTCTGTCTGTTAGAGCCTGTTGAGTTTTGTAAATTAACTCTGTATCCCATTAACTTGTGTTTGGCTGCCACAGATTTTCCAAGAAGTGGTCTCTGAAGTCGTTTTTAATTTCTGTTGGCAGTACTGGCCCTGCAGAGCTACAGCTGATGGGTGTTAGACTGATTTTCAGTTAGCTCTCTTTATTGGGAGCCAACTGAAACCCACTGAAATAAGCAAGTTGATTGTTTTAAAAGCCTCCTGCTGACAGATCTGTGGAGTGGTAATTTCATCCTGAAGAGCTTTTCTCACTGTCGTTATTAAGAATCAGACACAGCAGTATATGAGGGTTGGATCTCATGTAAACAGGCATCTGCTTATCTTGTTGTTTGCCACCTCTTAAGATCTTACAGGCCCTTGGAAAGTCATACCATCCTGGCTGCTTCCGCTGTGTAGTGTGTAACGAGTGTTTGGATGGAGTCCCTTTCACTGTAGATGTGGAGAACAATATTTACTGCGTCAAAGATTACCATACGTAAGTATGCAAATCCATTGATGCTTAGTAAAATTATAGTAGTTAAATTATTGCATAGTTATACGTCTGTATAAGCCTTATAGTTATAAACCTTATAATTATAAGCCTATGCAAGTTGTAGATAAAAAGGGTCATTCCTGTTTGCTCAGATGTCGAAGTGCTGCTCTCACACGTTGGCATTTGTAAAGCTTCTTAAAGTTATATTAAAGGTCACTTCATGGGCCCTGTGCAACATGCAGTCACTAAGTGAGGTTGAAAATGTCAGAGGATGTACTTTTCTGGTGGCTGTTTCTCTACTTCTTTTAGGACTTTCAGTATGTATTAGATCAGTCTAATTCTGCAAGTGATGGTAGGTTTCTACTGGCTGTTTGTAAGAATTGACTTTCTGGTAGTGCATGACACTGGTTAAGTGTAAATCAGGTTAGTTTAGACTGGACAGTAGACATGTAATTAGCAGGTAGTGTTAGAAAAATTACAGCCTCACCTGACAGAAAGTTTTGTGGTTCAAGTGATGGCATTTGGACTCCTTTCTCCCGGTCAAAGGTGCTGGTAGCTCCAGTCAACCAGTAACTCAGCTTATGCTGCAAGAGTACTCAACTCTATTGGTACCAACGTGATCGTGTTACAAGGATAGAGTGAGTGTTGGCCCAGTTACTATCGTAAAATGCAGCTGTAGATAGTAAGACCAGTTGATGTGTTTGGTTTAAGCAGAACCTAGCCATGAGCAGCCCCTCTTCTATTTAGCATAATTATGTCTCCCTGACATCAGTGACAATGCCCACGTCAGGAGCTGCTTTGCAGTCAAAGCAGTGAATCTCTGGAAGAATTTGAATGACTTTGAGTAAAGGTAGGTAAAAGAAATGGCATACATGGGAAGAGGGCTGCGTTCACTATGCCTAGTGGTCAGGAAGAGCTAAGCAATAAAGCTGGACTAGCATTGGTCTCCTTTTCCCTGAGTATCATCAGACACTTAGAGTAGTTTGGAATCCTGTGGATCTCCATTTTGCTAAAAACAAGGAATGATTAGAATAGGTCTTTTGGTTGTACTTTTTGAAGAAGCTTTAAATGTGATTTGACCACTTTCTTCTTGCACCCTAGGGTTTTTGCACCAAAATGCGCTTCCTGTAACCAGCCGATCCTCCCAGCACAGGTACATGTTAGCATGCATCGATTCTTTAGAGAAGACAGCCGTTGGCATATGAACACTTTCCAAAAACACATTTGATGCTTTTTCTCCTTCTCCCAGAATCTATACTGTCAGATACTAAATTAAATACAGTTTGGAGTAATGTCACTCCCAAACATTCACAGAGGTTGTAATAGTCATACTACTTATGCAGCTTAGTACTTTGTATCTTTAGGGTGCTTTCCAGCTCTTAATTATGCTGTTATAAATCTCATTTAATTGAAAGCTCTGACTGGGCCTCCAAGAACAACCCAAGAAGCCTTGCTTATTTTTAGAATCTCCTGTTAGCTCAAGTAGCAATTTTCGTTGTCTGCTGCATCTGCATTTCTGATGTGGATCTGTTAAGATGCTCAAACTTGAAAAGGCAGCTGAGGGTTTACCCTGGCCCTGTGAGAAGGCCACAGAGTCTCTTGTCCTGGGGTGGCAATGAAATGAAAGTGCTTACAAGGGTTGAGAAGGCAGCAGAAAAGTTGGCTGAGAGGGAAGCCAGGTGAAGACATACTTCCAACCTCAGCCTATCCTGACAGGATAGTTAGCATGATAAAACTTCTGCATTAAGACATCCCTTTTCTGCCTGCCTGCAGTGGTGGTCCCTCAGACTCTCAGGGTGCAGAACCCATTGCTGAGGTCACTGACCAGATCGCTTGTAAGCAGGGGCCTAAGCACCTCCCTCTTTTTCCTCTTGTCAAGTTTATAGAGCCAGAGCTTGCATCCTATAAGCTGCTATGCCTGGTGCTAGAGCTTCTCAGCATGCCCACCTCCATCACTCTGCATGTTAGTCTCATTTGTCATTATTATTTCTGTTACATGGGCAGGTCTCACATAATTAAAAACCTCATAAAGGCTGAGCCAGAACTGCTTGTTCTGGTGATGGGATGTCAGGAGAAAACCCCTCTGTAAATTTCACTGGATTTCTGTCTTACAAAATTAGTTAAAAATAAAAAAAAAATAAAAAAAAAGAGGGGAAAGAAAGAGCAGTGCTACTGCTGACTCATGTGATGGCTAGCAGGGTAGACTCCACATTCTTTCCCATGGAGGTTTCTTAGGTAGTTCAAGTCTAGCAGTGCAGGTACTAACTTGCCCGTAGCTTCTCTCAGACATAGTCTACGTCATATCTGATGCTTTAAACCACACCTAGAACTGGAAACAATGAAAGGCAAGAGATTTAATGAGCTCTGTCTTCAGAGGCTTCAGAGCAGATCAGGGAGTCTGTGAGGTTACAAGAAGGGTATAGGCTGCTTTGCAGGGCCTGGGGCTCAGCCAGGAATTACACAACTCCACCATATCCATTCTCATGCTGAGGTTTTGGCTGGTGCACATAATTACCTGTCAGACTGGTATGTAACTCCCTGTGGGGTACATACAGTGACATGTGCATGTGCAAAATAGCTGTGCAGCAGATGGTTTGAGGGGAATACAAGTCCTGGAAAACTCAGGCCAGGATGTCCACAAAGAAAAGTTACCCAGTCAGCAGATCATAGGTTTTGGCTGGTAATTCATTCAGAACCTGGGTGCCCTTGGAAAATTATTTAATTTCAAGATTAGTTTCTCCCTTGAGGATAAAGTATTGGCTACACTTCCCAAATGACCTCTACAGCTTAGATATGTCAGACACTCATGCTGCTCCTTACATCAAAACCAGGGGTGCACCAGGGACAAGACCTCCAGTGGTCACAGAGCCCTGCTCTGCAAAGGAGGAGGGATCCCCCAGGGAAGCAGCTCTGCAAAGCAAAAGATTGGGCGCTGGGAGAAGATGGAGAAAACACTGCTTACAAGCCCACTCTTACCTTCTTTCTGCTTCTGCAATAGGGCTCTGAGGAGACCATTCGTGTGGTGTCAATGGACAAAGACTACCATGTGGAGTGCTATCACTGCGAGGTAAGCATCTGGCCCAACCCATGGCAAGGCTTTGCTCATACCTAGCAGCCTCTTGGTAGGTGCCTAACTAGCACCCCAGGGTGCACTTGCTGGCTTTTACATGCCTGAGCAGGTAGGGCTCTGCCCCATGGCTCCTGGAGGGAGGCATGAGTGCTAGCTGGTCTGTAAGTGGTGCTGCCATCCCCAGTACCATGTTTTGGTTTAGTAGAAAATAGATAGGGATAGCACTGTGTTGCTTTTTGGGCAGTAGTTTCTTTTTTGTGGAGAAAATTTAAACTTCTACTGAGGCAGATTAAGTTGTGGGATTAGTGCGCTTGCTTTGGAGAGAAGAGCTGAGTTCAGTCCTAGCTTTGCATCCAGAGGCATGAGGAGGGGAACAAACTGTTTAATTTGGAATCAACCCAAAAGATCCACACAGATCCTACCTGTCTTAGCACCAGAGGCAGAAATGCAGCCATATTATCTTCCATGCTTTTTTGCACAAAAAAAAGTTTTACAAAGAGACTTCTGATTGAGGGAGAAAATAACAAAATTTGGAGTATCTTGAAAAGTATATGAATGTAGGCATAAGGAAGACGGCTTCCCCTTGGCTGTCTCCTTCCAACAGAGATACCTGATACTCCATCCTTTTCTATTAAATTTTAACAAGAAATTGGCACAGGAAATTGCACTATTTTGGAGAGCTGTACTTCCCTCCTCCTTCTTACCCCATCTATTGCTTTGTGCAGGCTTCACCTAAAATGACAGCTCCCTCCCCTTTCTCTCAGGCTATTGACTTTATGTTAGAATGTCCCAATGGGGGTTTATTTTCTGTTCTGTTTCATTATTCATTTCCCCATTCTCCTTCTAGTTTGAGGCAAATCAAGCTGCCTCCACATCTGCCCAGAATGGCAGATTGCATTTATGTACAGAAATCAGGGGTTAACCATGTGTTAACAGGGGTAAGTTATTGCCTCATGGTCTCAAATCAGGCTCTCAAACTACATGCTGGGTCAACTGCTGTCCCGGAATCATGCTAGAAAAGCTAGTGCCAGTATTTTGAGGTATTCGGATGGAGACTTCTGCAAAGTCTCTGACCAGCCACTTCTGAAATGCTGCTAAAGTCATCCTTACCTGGTGGCCTTGCAAAGGTCAGTGGGCAGTGATGAAACTTTGCTGTTTTTCTCTATGATCTCTTTGTTGTGTAATCACTTAAATTATGCTGAGAAGTTTAAGTAGGGTTATAGATCAGTAGACCCCCATTCTAAAACTGCATGTGTCCAATTAAAAACTTTGCATCAATTTTCAATACTAAAATGACCTCTATGCCCAAATAATAATGATGACAACTGAAAGTCAGGACTGTCTCTATTGTAGCATGCATAATAGCAGGTAGGATCATTGCTTGTTATTCTTCTTTTTATCTCTGTTCCTCCACTGCTGTTCACCCATTTTGTACACTTCTACTCCCCCATTTCTTGCTTGCTGCCTTGTTGTAGAATTGGCTCCTTCTCATTCCTAACCTCTTCCATATTGTATGTGTCAGGGTCAGCCCTTGGCCTGGTTTGGGTTGGGTTTTTTTTTCCAGAGTGGAAGACAACAGGAAGAAAGATGCCGCATACTATTATAGACTGGCCTGTTTGATTTCAGCAATGTCATTTTGCTTAATATGAGATAGTCACAGTCCACCTGCAGAAAATTCTTGAGGTTGCTGGCTTCAGAGGATGGGTAGGTCAACATTGTTGCACAATGACACCTGAATCACTCAGTAACATGAGATGTATATGTTTCTTCTAGGATTGCGGCTTGCAGCTCAATGATGAGGAAGGCCATCGTTGTTACCCATTAGAGGGCCACTTGCTCTGCCATGGCTGTCATATCAGGCGCCTTAATATTAAACTGCCATCACATCCACCTCCGAGCTATCCAATGCATGTCACAGAACTCTGAAAGACATTTCCATTACCAATAAGCCGTTCGAAAGAGAAAACAAATATCTAAAAATTACTTCCCTTTCGTTTCCTTTAAAGATGAGATTCCAGTAATAACTATCTAAACCAGCTATTTATTTTTTAAATCGGAGGTGAGGGGTCTTTTTTCTGATCTTGTACATACGCATTCTTTTATCTAGATGTTTTCACTGAGACACCACCTACTTGAACAAGTAATACAGCACTAAACTGTAACTGTAAATGACAGCATTTCTAAAAGCAATGGTACAAAGGGCTGTTCTGCACTCCCTATTCACTTTATTCCAGTGGGGATTTCATCCAACTAAGGAGTGTTGGAATTACTTTCAAAAGTTAGCACCTTATATTGCAGCAAACTTGATAAGATAAATGCTAGTATTTTAGCTAGCTTTGTTGAATTCTGGTCTTCGAGAATACAGGCTCGCATTTTTTAAAGCTTAGATGCCCGAAGGTAGGTAACAGGGAATAAACAAGTGTTTTTAGTATGGACAGTTTTCAGCAGGGGTTAAATAATAGCATTCTCTAAAGTAGAATCAGGCCAGCTTTCCATCCTACAAGGTTCCAAAGTCATCCAAAGACGTGTTGAAGGCACATAGCAAGTATCTCTCAAAAACTACGTTACAGAGGATTATATCCAAAAGATTGGCATATGCAGGGTCATAACAGTTGAAGAAAGTTACAGACCTCTGTAATTGCTTGCTGTGTACAGCTGTAGCTATGGTTTCAAAATGCATTCATATCAGCTTGATGATTTGGCACTTAATAAGAATTTATCTTTCAAAGCTGTTTTTTCTTTAATAGGGTTAGCTGCCTCTTTCTATGCAAAGGTACACTTGTATTTATGCTACTTGTTTTATACAAGACTCCATTTGTTACCAACTGCTTTATGATTGTATGTTGATGTATTATTAAAAAAAGAGGGGACAGTGTTTTTGTATTATTTTTTCAGCTTTGTGTTTTTTTCTAGATGTACTTTTGAACTGATTATGGTGATTGTCTTAGTTGGAAATCAAAGTCCAGTTTAGCAGAAAAATAATTTAGAGAGACCATTGAAACATTGGTATTTTATAACAAGTATTAGATGTACATAGAATGTACACACTTTCATGTTTTGCATAAGCTTTTACCGTAACCTCATTGCTCTGGGGAAATACATGTCTTCCATATAGGAAGTTAGATGAATCCTTTTTATGGTTTGTTTTGTACCATGTGTTGATGATTTACATGCAAATCACACATCTGTATGTTTAAAAAAATTCCCTGCATTCTCATGAGAATTAATCCAGCCTTCCTGAATTCAGATTTTAAATAAATCCATCATTGCTGTCTTCAACTGTACCAAAAATTACAATAAAATAAAATTATCCTGCTCCAGAGGAAGTGGAAATACCAGACCAGATTCTGCCCATCTGTAAATTGGGACATTTCCATGCCAGTTCTCAAAACATCAAGATTTTGATGGATACATTCAGAAATGATCCCATCTTAAAGTCAGCATGCAGACTGGTGAAATTACTTATTTGGCAACACCATTGCTGTTTAGTTTCTTATGCTCCATTGACTTTCTGAAAGCCCCTCTCAAAAAATACAAAGAACATCCAATGGACACTAATTCCTAAGTGGAATAATTAACTCCCTTAGCAGAACTTTTTGATAGTCTGGAATTTCCTTAAGGGGGAAAGGGAGGGGCAGGAACAGTTCCTGTGAACTTTTTTTTGTTAGTAAGGAACAAAAGGTATGTTTTCTGAACTTTTGCCAAACTTTCATTGGCCTAGATTAACCTGTCCTACTGAACACTCCTTGGCAAGTCAGATGCTCTTTTAAAAAGTCATTTTCTGACTAATATATATCAGTTTATAATTAGCATATTTAATGTGACAAACGTGTTTTCAAGTAATTACAGTGCAACTGGTGCCTCTTTTCTACAGTGTGGCCTAAGAGCCCTGCAGAAGAGAGGACGTAGGGTGCATGCACACTTTTTCTGCATTTGCAAATGTTACCTCTGTGTTCATAATCACCAGCCCAGCCTCAGAAGGAAGTACATGTGTGCCTCTTACCCAAACAGCAAATGCTAGAAAAAGGAGAAAAAATGCCTTAAATTGGAGTGTATTACTAGTTAAATTCAAGATTATTACAAACATGGAAGATACCAGAGCTTCAGGATACACTTTTTAGCATCAGCTGCAATGTAATACTATTTCCATGTAAGGAAGCTGCTTTGGACCACATTTAGCTTTGCAGCATTTTCACTTGCTTGTCTTTACAAATATATTAAGGGACCCAAATTAAGTGGCAAGTTTAAGTTTCCACTGCAACATAGTTTTCAAGGGACAGCACACTAGCTAATATGTACATACCATACCTTTTCTTATTTTTTGAAAACAATCATACAGTAGAACAGAATAATATTTTATTTCATTTCACATGTTAATTTGTCAGTCTTGTAGTTCTCAGTTGTGCTAAGTATCATCAATACTTCAATATAGAATAAGCAATTTGTTTAAAACCAGAAAGCAGCAGTTGTTATTCCAGTATTTTCTATAGACAAGTGCATTCCATTACTGTATAACAAACTACAGCTTTGCTTTTCCAACTCCTAGTGTAAAAACAAGCTTGAGTGAAAATTGCCAGTAGGGTTTTTTAGGTTTTTTTCAATCAAAGAGAAAAATAAAAGCAAATGTAAAATAATGATGTGCTGTGATAGTGCTAGTTTCTGCACATTTTACCTCTTGTCTGGGGATTTATGTAGATAGATGTAAAAGCTTGTCTTAATGATTTTCTTAAAGAGTATTCTTATGTTAAATGAGTTCAACATAGATGTAAACTTTCTGTAGTTCATTTTATGATGTGATTGTTCTTCAGAAGCCTTTGCTGTACTTTCAGACTATTTCCATAAAGTTAAAACAATAACAACTTGTTCTCATTTGCATCAGGACAACAACACCTTTCCATTTTGGTAATGAATGTTACAAAGTCCCTACAGCACAAAGCTGTTGTAGGCAATTCAAGAGTCCCTCATGCACTGGAGGACGCATTCCAAAGAAAGAACCAAAATAATAATGTGAAACAAAACAAGAATGCACTCAGATAATTGAGCTTTCAAAGAGGGTTTGTTTGGGTTTCTTTCCTTTTCCTTTAATTTGTGTGCATGTGTGTGTATGTATTTTGTAAGGTGGAGCTTCAAAAGAAAAACATGGTTAGAGGAGCTCTTTAAGACCAGAAATTCCAGAGTAGTAAAGTAAACCAAAGCTCTAAAGGGGACAAAAGCTGCTTTCTTGTGTTTCAAGAAAAGTTTAAAAGTTTGTGATTCATCCTGTAACTAATGCCGTAACTAGAGTATATAATTTGACTTAAATTAAGTTTTCATTTAAGAAATATTTTCATTTTCTTTAAAAGAATATAGTTTTCTTCCAAGAACTTGGACCAACGTTGATTTTTATTTTGTAGGAAATATATAAATTCCCAGTTTGTATATCATGTAACTAGTTTACATGCTGAAAATATACATTAGTTTAACTATTTTTGTATATATATATATCCTTGTGAAACCTTTCATTGTGCTTCTGTCTTAGTCTTTAGAATTACTTGTGGTTTTGTGTTTCAGTGTTTGATTCCCTTGATTGTTGAAGAAAAAAATTGGGAAATGTAGATTTATTTATCTAAAGGAGAAGCTACTTCCTATCATTCTAAGTTATTTAATATTAAAGTCAGAAGTTTCATTTAACCTTAGATGCTATAATCTGCTTTTTTTCAATAAAGACACTTTGTAGTGATCTTTGATTTTGTAGTTTGTTGCATATAAATTGGTTTGGGTTCTTTTTTAATCTAGGTGGGTACTAAAACAATTTTCAGGACACCCCTGTATTGCCTACAGAAATGCCTAACTGATATTAATTGATCGCAGCTGCATTCATGAAAGACTCTGGTCCTCTAGTGCAAGTGTTACTAATTAATGTCTAAAATATGCCCACAGCTAACATTTTGCAGCTGCACTTAGAAAAGAATTTAGCCACTCTGGCAATTTCTAATTAAGCTTTAACCAGTCTGGCTAGTTCACGTGTGGGACAGTCAGTATTGAGGAACACTTTCTTCTCAAGGCTCACATCATTTTTTGGAGTGTTCCAGAAGAGGTGTGCTGCCTGGGCTATGAACTTGGATAAAGCACTCAGACCTTGGGGGGGGGGGCAATTTTATCAATATTCTTGCTAAGTCACAGTAATTCAGCCAGAGCTCTCATAGGATCAAAAATATGGTTTTTTATATGTATCTTACTTTTATGAACGTTCTTGCCTCTTTCTTGTCTCCAACTTCATGGCACAGATGGATTACATTTATGTTCTGCACACAGTGGTTCTGCAAGAGCAGCTCTTACCTGTCAAAGAAAAGGTTCATCAGGGTTGGTATCTTATCTCCAACCTATCGTCAGAACTGAATCCCTGGTTTCCTCATGTTTAGTGGGTTTCCTTTCCATTAAGCTGGTCAGTTTACCACCCTTGGGGATGCTCTTTCCTCCCGTGACTCGCATAGTGCAAATATTCACAAGCTGTTACTTTAGTGGAGGAAGGCCCACTCTGCAGCGCTCTCACCCTGGCTTTGCAAAGTACAACTGCCTTCACATTTGGAAATGGAACTTTCAAGCATTTTTCACACAGTGGCTATTTTGGCAAATTTGTCTTTTGCACAGTCAACAGAAGGAGTTATAAACACCACAGTTGTGTCAGGGACTTAGTCTGTGCTTCGGAACAGATGTATGCACTTCTGTAGGGCCTTCACACACATGCTATTTTCTCACTCTGCTAGTTTTTTTTAAATTCCTTCTAAACAAGCAATTCATACCCTTGAATTAAAAAAAAAAGGAGGGGAGAGGGGACAGGATGACTAAGGCTGGCCAGCTGAAAGCATTTTCACAGTTCCTTACCACAAAGGTGACACAAATGTAGTTAGTAGAATCTAGGACATATTCTTAATGCACTAAGAATTTACACCAACCCATAACAAGCCTGGTATTTAAATATATTAACTGCCCCTCATGGGCCTCCTTGCAGGAAATACATACTGGAAAATGAACATACATTCGCTGGAGGAAGGCTGTGAGTCAGGACATAGCTCCCAGACGGGAGCACCACACAAGTCCACAGTGTTGTAGGACTCCCTGGCATGGCATCTGAGCCACAGAGAAGTGTGTAACTGGAAGCTGTTGCATGACGAATGGTTGCTAAATCTGGCATGCAGATTATTCAGGAGGGCTTTGTGAGGCTTCACCTTACCAGATGTTCCTGGGGTCTGCACAATTTGGACATGGAGTAGGACACATCAGTCATCTCTGGGTGCCTAAGCTGGACATAAAAGTGTCACACATGAGGTAGAGGGCATGGTTTCTGGAATAAATTGCAGGTCACGCCTCAGTCACCGCTACAGGGCTCATCGCTAGTTGAATTACGTATTTCAAAAGCCTTGGACTTAACCACAATTTTTGGTAAAAACTGCAGAAAACAAAAAATATTTTCTTCCTGTTCAAAAAATCAAATTTAAGATCCTATCCTAGTGCTCAGTGCAGTTCTCACCATCTCTTCACTTAACACTAGGACAACAAAAAGAAGTTACCATATTAAGAGCACATACCTGCAGTTTTCCTGTTCTTTGTCTCGGAAGAAAATACACTGCATTAGATAGATAACATAAATCACCGTATTCACATAACCAGCAAAGGAGAAGTACAAACTGTACAAAAAGAAAGAAACCATATGGAGAGCTGATTTTCCAGTAGTGATAAGTATCTATCCAGCAATAAATTTAACAACAAATTCTTAAAGGTTTGTCTCATGGCTGAAAAAAGTCCACAAAACCCCATATTTGTATGTGCATGTCTGGGAAATCATCACCTCGGAGAACAAGGACTGCATTGGTTAGTTACAGTAACTCTAGTGCTTAAATGGACTGTCCAAAATGGCCTGTTCATTAAAAATTTGGCACATTTAAACTATTGCAGGAATGTTAAAGCCACCTGATCAGTTAATTACTGGCTGCTCTGGTGAGCCACAGGCACCCCTCGGTGCTTCCAGGTATAGTAAGGGAACAGTGACATGCTCAGTTCCCAACTAGTGTAACTGGGTCTTGTTCTACTAAAACAAGGAAGCTAAACTGGTTCATTCTGAGTGTCTCATGCCTTCTGTAAGACAGGGCATTAGAATAGGAGAGAAAATTTTTGTGTCAAGCTGTGTCTCTTACCACTTACATTCTGCAGCTGAAAGCTTCATGAGCCAAATGTGACAAGCTTACCAGAGGGGAATAAAGCAGCAGTAAATTTTGTTCTGGGAAGGGCAGCTATTATGTGACTCTGGCCTAACCGAAGTGCCTTTACCTGAAGTTTGCAGAAGTCACACACTGTGTGTAAGGATGCATACAGCAACAGAGTAGGGGAAAAAATGAATCTGGCATGTGTGGCAGGGTGCAACACTGGGGAGAGAGCAACAAGACTTACCTTCAATACCTGCAAGCCATGTGTTTAAATTGTACTTACAGCTACTAGTGGACATGGCTCCCAGATTATTTTTTTTTCACAGATCATCTTTAAAGTGCTGAAGTAAAAAAGGGCACCAGAAACCGCTGAGTGTTGTCCAAGAAGATTGTGGCGGCACTCCTCCACACCTGGGCTTACTTTGGAGTTAGCTCTTTTCCTCAGTCCTCCCTCCTACATCAGAAAAAGAATAGAAAAGAAAAAAATAATCACAGCTTTATGTGATGAATTCACTTTCCCATTCCTTATTAGGAACTTTATCCTATTCCACTTTGAAGCAAGGAAGAAGAGGAAGACGACACCCTGTCTGGCACCTCAGCACAGGCTGCTTGCCAGTGGTCACTCTGTCACCCATGGATTCCTCTTACCAAAACAGCAAGTCTTGGTCCAACAAATATTTTGGCCACTTTATGCACACTATTGCTTCTACCAAAGTTTTATCATTTGGAATAGATCATTTCCTACCTACATTCCCAACTCGTAAAAGCTATACCTACAGTTTGTATAGCTCATTATTCTTTTATCACCCCAATATACCACACTTAATGGAAAAATAACAGACATTTAGTTGCAATAAGATCTGCCTTTAGTTGGTTATATACATTATTTCATTCCCTAATTAAATAAAAAATATGTTTGCAACCTTTTTAAATAACTTACTTGCCTTGCATCAGCTGCTGGCTGCTCTCTTGCTAACAGTACATTTTCCAAGCTCTGGACCAAAACCATTGGTTTTTTTAAAGCCAGAAAAAAAAAGTAATTAAAAATTAATAAATTCACTGCCAGTTAATGTGTAATTTGCTAATTATTTTTTAGAAGTCCCACCAGAATGGGGAAAAAATAACTAACATTTCTATATGTAAGAGTCCATTAATGCTTCTGAAATGAAGCAGAACTCCTTAAAGAACATGCCATTGCATCTTCCAAATTGAATCAAAAAAGAAGATCAAACAAAGATTTCTTTAAATGTTTCTTTGTAAGCTGCAACATGCTGCAAATATCTGCTAAATCAGTGGCTCTGGCAGCCACCGGACGATGCTTCGCTAAAGCAGCTGGATTCCGTGACATAGCTGACCTTCAATTAGATTTCTTTTTTTTTTTTTTTTTCACTAATTATAACATCTTCAAAGGTGAAATCTTTTCCTTTGCTGGTGAGCCAAAAGATAGTCTGAAGCTCGGCTCCTACTGCACAGCAATCAGTAATTTTCAGATTACCTTTCAGAAATTCTATGGCTTTATTTGCACCCCAGGTACCAAAGAGTGATGTTTTCTTTGAGCCAATCTTCAGTTGCAGCCTTCTATATAATCACACAGCCCAAAAGGAAGCAGCATGGTAAAGAGGATGTTGCAGAGACTCAGCAATGCTTCTGTACTGAACAGGAGAGAAGAGGTGAGCAGGACTGTACATAACCTGCCAACTGCCATCCCTCTTTGCAGAGGAGCAGCAAAGCAAGCCACTAGCTCTTGCTGTGGTGTAAGAGTAGTCTCTTCATCCACAATCTCTGCAGCTTTACTGTCAATGAATGCTATCCTTTGTATCTGCCCATGGAAATGGCAAAGGTTTTGCTTGTCCTAACACTACTCCCAACTCAAAATGAAAACAAACCCACATAGATGAACTTACTGTCTATACTGTACACAATATGCATTATTAATAAATCCACATATAGAAGTGTAAGTGGGCTGAATGGCTGGTTTGTGCAAAGATTTCACTTTAGAGGGAACCAGGCCACAGGAGGTTCACTGGCAAAGGTTTACAGAGTATTTTAAATATATCCTAATATTATTCTTTGGAAGAAGGTGCTAACAATGCTTGCACATACATAAGCACATTTCCTCTTGCTGTCTGGCAGTGTATATTAATCCTCACACCCTCTCCAGCTGAAGTTTACTTATTATCCCATTTTACCAGGGAGTTGCAGATACATGCTCAAGGACAGGCAGCAGAAACGGGACCCGTGAGCTCTGCCCACTGCAGCTGTGGCGGGGCACAAGCTGGAGCAGGGCCTCGGCAAAGGATGGGGATCAAACTCCTGCGCTGCTTTGGGTGTCTGTTTCTAGGTGCTGCCCCACAGCCTGCTGCAATAGAGCACAGGCTTGGGAGAACAGCAAGAGGCACCCTTCTGGCCTTTGTGTGTTTGGGTCTCAGATGAGAAAGACACGGCTGAAGCATGTTGGACTAAGGTAAACAAGGCCAAAAGGTGGGAAAGATGGAGGTGACCAGTCAATGGCTTGGTTGGAGGAGCAGATGGCCACTGCTCAGCTTCCCA